ACTGAACCGATGCTTTGTCTGATCTTTACTACAATCAGGTCCTAAAGTTCTCTCAGCAGCAGAAGACCCTGGTGGCGACCATGCGTCGCTTCAGTGTGATGAAGAAAGAGAGCAGCATAACACGAAACATCAAGCTCCAGGCCGAAAGCCTCCACCGCCGTTTAGATGCGCTTTCAAAACAGGCCCAAACTACTGAGGATCAGCAGGGACCGACGGCGGCTACAACCAGGATACAGCGCTCCCAGCATGCAGCGCTGTACCGCAAGTTCCAGCAGGTTGGAAAACGATGCTGCTGCTTTGCTTTGGATGTTTAAAGCATCTCTAGTACAGTAGATAGGGTGGATATGGGTTAAATTAAACTGAAATCTGCATGGTAGGAGATAGTTGGGAGCACATAGAATCAGAAACTTATCAGATGTATGTATTAAATACCAAAAAAGTACCAAAATATATGTTGAAATAATAAAGCAGGACATTTTTATTTGTATTTCCCTGCTCGTTCATGAGGCTAATAATTGCACTGAAGGTCAAACCATTCAGTTATTGTATCGCTGCACTTTATAAATGTCTTTCTATGTTAAAGATGTGCAGTTATTCTGCAGTACAAAGAGTAAAGAGGGTCAAGAAGCCAAACATAAAATATGCTTTTAAAAAAAAGAGATTCAATACTCTTCCTCGTTCCTCTTTTCCTCTCCCTCCCTCCCTCTTCTCCATTCTCTCTCTCTTTTCTTGCTATAATTATTGTCAGGTAATGTGCCAGTATAATGAAGGTCTGCTGACCAAGCAGGATCGCTGTAAGCACTTCATTATCCGGCAGCTCGAGGTGTCGGGGAGGGATGTGACGGAGGAGGAGGTGAACGAGATGGTCGCCACTGGAAACTGGGAGGTCTTCAATGAGAACCTGCTGAACGACGCCAAGATCACGCGGTCGCAGCTGTCGGAGATCGAGCAGCGACACAAGGTGACGGCAACACAAACGCGTCACCGAACCGAGGCTGTGACAGCGTTCAGCTGAAACGCCCAGTCAAGGCAAATAAACTCTCATTTAATACTGATTTGGTTTCCTTTTGCGCTCATTACCCTGCAAATAGAGCCGTCTGATAGCATGAAAGCATCAGTCTTTCTCATTAATATCATCCGTCCTACGTTACAGAAACATCAGCAGCACGTCTCACACTGGTGTGTGTTTAACTGACACAAATGGGAAAAGGAAATTCATTTGAAAAACAATCACTAAAGGAGACAAAAGTTTGGCGTTACTATCTTAAAACAACAAAATAAATCTCTCTTCTTGCAGCCCTTAAAACTGAGCTCTGCTGGTTCCTCTTCTGGGCTCTATTAGGGACTTCTGTAGACCTGGGAGACCAGGTGAACGACATTAAGTCATTGAGAAAATAAATAAGCAGTGCTCTCTGTATTCAGCCAGCCCTGAATACAAATAGATTTCCAAGAACATTAATCACTCAGAATGAAAAAGCCACATGGTGATGATGCTGTCGGAGTCTCTTCCTCCCATCAGGTCGCTCAGCATCTCCATCATCTGGCTGATGTCTACACTAGTAACGTCTTCCTCCTCCTACAGGAGCTGCTGAGCCTGGAGAACAACATGAAGGAGCTGAGGGACCTCTTCATGGACATCTTCGTGCTGGTGGAGCAACAAGGGGCCTACATCGAGCACATCCAGACCAACGTGGAGAGAACGCAGGACTACGTGGCCGTGACGAACGAGAAGTTCAAGATGGCCGTCAGGTACAAGAAGAAGAACCCCATCAGACAGCTGTGCTGCTGCTGCTGCCCTCCGTGGAGATGCTGCTTATAAAATGCAAGAAATTCTGCCTCAGCTGCTTCAAAAGTCTTCGTTACCTGCTGGAAGTAAGAAGCAGTGGATCCAAGCACCATTTAAGTGAAGGTAATGGTACAGCAGGTTTCGCTGTTGGACAGAGCGATGGTGAAGACAGATTCAGCAGAGCATAGAAAACAATTAGGGGAAGGGCTAGAATTGGTATGGGAGGCACTTGTTTCTTTCCAGAGGATGTGAAGCGACCGCTATTGGAAGAGACAGTTCAGTGAGTGCTACTCACCAACACTGTTGCTTATTGGAGACCTTCACTGTCATCTGACAGAGGTCACAAACAAGGGGAGGCCACTGACACTGCTGGATCAGCAAGACTCAGATTCCACCATTTTTCCACAAGAACCTCTCATCTTTACTTTTTTTTTCTTCCCCCTGCCACAGGAGCTGTAGATAATGAGGGCATATTTTTTTATACCGTATATGCACTTTAAGACTTCTTTTCTTTTGAGCACCAACTAAAACGTAGTAGACAAAAGATTTTTATTTCAAAGATATGGAGCCGCTGCATATTCATTTCATTCTTAGTCCACATGCTGATGAAAAAAAAAAAGAAAGAACTTGTTTTACAATTAGTCATTAGTTTCATTTGCATTTCAAAGTCTGATCATTTTCAAAGAAAGAAAGAGAAAAAAAGTGTTATTTAATTTATACGGTTCCACAGAGGCAGGGATTCAAGAGGAGCTCTGAATAACGAGACTCGATCAAAATATTTCTGTCATGATGACAAAATCGCAGGAAATCATTGAAGTCGTTTGCTTTAAATGCGACGGAAGATTACTTTTCAGGGTGTATTAAAATTCTCTGTGTGCGTCGCGTCTCGCGAAAACAATTCGGGATTCTGTTGGAACTGTTTCATTGTGCAGATGAAGAATTCTGGCATCCGCGTGCATCATTATTATTTATGTTATTATAGCGCACGAAGACGGAGGCTTCACAGAGAAAAATGCCAGAACAACGGACTGAAACCCCAAGAATATGGTGTTTTCCCGATAAATAGAACCAGCAGACTGCTGACAGACAATCATCCTCTGTTTCCCCGTTTCCTTAAGCTGAGTTGACAATATTAACTCATTATCCCTGCCAGGGTCATGGCAAAGGGAAGTGATTCGGTGGGTAATTCATTCACTGTTGATTCCGTTCACCGGCGGAGTGGCTTTAAACGAGGCTCTAATCAGCAGTGACAGTGATGCTCCTCAGTGAGGCACTGACCCGTGGTGTCTGGTGTCCGGGACAAAAATACGGGTGAACTGGGAGTGTTGGGAGCCGTTCTGGAAAATCTGGTTTGTCGACTATCCCGGCGCAGCGGCAGGACCGTCGAACAGTGTGTCAATAGAGCCTTTAGCAGATGGTAAGAGGATCTGCCTTGGTTAAATAGTCTTCTGTTCACATCAACTAATCCTGTGTCCGTAACAACATGAAAGACTGTGAACGCATCAACAATAACTTCATGTAAAGAGTAAAGAGTGCCAAAAATAATGCTGTTTATACGTCACTTTAATTGCTCCCCCTGGTCTTCATACACCTTATGCGATCTCTAACGAAACATGTCAATGCAGCTCTTTAATTATCCTCAGCTTCAGGAACAGAGTGAAGTGTTGGAAGACTTCTGCCATCTGACTGGAAAAAGTCTTTTTGTGAATCTTCTGCGTCGTACATCAGTCTCTTCAAAAAAATTAGAACGACATATTAAAAACCGAGACAAAAAACACATCGAATATTTAAACTTGAAAATCAAATAAGGAGGCGGCGCGTTGATCCCTCGTCCCTGACACGGTGAGGAAAAATGAGGCGCTGCTGCAAATTGGAGGGTTCCTGAACAGCAACAATGCCATCCAGTGTTCAGCCTGATAATTACCACTTAGAAGTGGGTTATCAGTTAATGTCTGAGGGCATGCAGTCACACCGCTACGGGATTGTGCGAGGCTCAAAACACTCAACTACACAGCAGGAACTTCACTCCTGAACATTCTCATGATGAAAATTTCTTTATTTTTAGGCCATTTATTGCAGCTTATCACTCAAATTAATCAAAACAGATCAACAGGACGTGCTACTTTAAGGTCAGGGTCATTTAAACGGTTGATCTAGACGGAGACGAATCCAGTTTATTTTAATGTGGATGAGGTTTCTGTTTCTTAACTGGCATTAAAAAAGCGACAACAACAACCAACGAGAGGCAGGACTCTCCCTTCAGACTGCATCCTGTTCCTTATTTTCCAGCTACGTCCGTGAGTATCTCGTCATATGGCATCAATGATTATGAAACAGGTCAAACATCCCTCTTGATCATGTCAATAAGGCACCACGAGCAAATGTAATACAGACTGAGCTGTCATAACACAGACAGCATATTCGCTGCCACCATCAAAGAAACATCAGAATAAAAGAAAATCTGTAGGACGGGATTTTTTATTTTCTTTCTCCAAATGCACCAACAGCAGAGTAGCAGAGATCAATGAGTGTCTGCAGACCTGAGAGAAAGCTTCTGGGCTTCGTATGAGACGTCCATGACAACACGAGCAGCCTCTCAACAGCTGAGTTCACTATACAGAGAAACTTTTACTCTAAAGTAGGAAATGTTTGGAACAGGCAGTTAAGTTTAGGTGCCAAAACTACAGTCGTGACTTGATAATCTGACCCTTAACAACTTGAAAACCTTGCTATCTGACAGGTTTTTAGGAAAAACGAATGGAACCCATATAAGAAACCCACACATCAGGATGACGGCGTATTATCTGACTGAACAATCCCACAGATTGGCTACGTTCACACTGCAGGACTTGATGCTCAATGAGGATTTCTTTGTGACTTCCTTCACGTTTCCAGTTCAATGCGACTTGTATGTGATCTGCTGTGTGAACTTCATACGACCCAAAAGTGTCCCGCATGTGCAGAAGAGGACACGACGACGTCACACGCAGTGAGCGTGCTCAGTGGAAGTAAACATGGATGATGGCGGCGGCAACGGCGGCTGTTCAGATATTCATCATTAAATGGACCTGAATATCCAGAGAGCAGAAAGTGCTATTGGGACCAGCCCTACTAGTTATTATAACAACTATGAACAATAAATATTAACAACTAATGAGCCTTCCAGCATCAAGCCCTCCTTGTATCTCGACCTCCGTCTTGACAATCCGACATAAAAGAAGGTTTTACATTTAGTGTCGGATTATCGAGTCACGATTGTATTTGATCGGGTTTAGGAACATATCATGCAATCCTTTAACAATATGTTTCAAGCTTCTCCATTTCCTGGGTTTGCAGAGTGACAAGTCTCACCTTGTCTTATATATGATAAATGGTAAATGGACTGCACTTACAAAGCACTTTTCTACCTTTACAATGTTTTCTCATTCACACATTCATACACTTTGACCGTGGAGGGGCCGGAGATGGAACCACCAACCTTATGATCAGAGGATAACCTGCTCTACCACCTGAGCCACAGCTGCCCATGTTTCATTGGCTTAAAGGAGCGACAGATTTGTTAATTACAAAGAAGCTTAATTTAGGAAAAACGTTTCCCTCAAAATGTAGTTGAGGATGCAGAATGTTAGCAGCTAATGCCAGACAGCAGCAGGTGATAACCATCAGCCACGTTCACTGAGAGCAGCCTGCCTGCACACTGACTTCCACACCACACATGCCGACAGGTAGACCTGGAGGTGGACCGGGTAGTCCAGGTCTTCACACGTAAAAATGTACCGCCTTCCTTCTATAAACAGTGTCACAGCTCACATCAATCACATTTATTTGTCTCTGCTGATATAAAAAAAGACAAATAAACCTGTGGACATGGACCCCCAGGCAGGCCAGAGAAAAATATCCACAAAACTCCTTTTTTTTTTCTCTCTCTCTCTTTTCCAGCAACGTCGTGCTTCTCATTCAAAAGGTTGCACTCTCTGGGAGCCGCCCGGCACTACAAAAGTTTTCAAATGTTTAGAGGCGCCGCTGTGGATTCATCTTGTTTACCTCCATCGGTGAAGGTGTTATCCCATATTTTAGCTGAAAGCGCGCCGCCCGGAGTCATTCGGACATTTAATCCTGTTCCTGGCAGATTTTGTCAGACTGTCACTGCCTGCGCTGCACATACACGACGGACATCTATATATGGATATATTGTGTATTACTGTGGGAACAAGCAGCATTTTTTCTCTTTATAATAAAACACCAGATGCATGCTGATGCAGAGGTGGTACCGGCTGACCTCCTGACAGGCTGGGCTGTTTCTTTGTGGAGTTTGCATGTTCTCCATTTGATTATCTCCAACTTCCTCCCACTGTCTAAACTAGCTGATGATCCTAAACTGTCTGAGGTGTGAATGTGAGGTGGTTGTCTGTCTCTCTGATAAACTAGAGGTCTGTCCACGATACACCTCTCACCCAATGGCAGCCAGGACAGGCTTCAACCGCCTACTAGCTATAGCACATGTACTGTTCATTTATTGGTGATTATTGCAGGTCACTCTTTTGGTTTCGTACATGTACTTGCTCCAGATTCAATCCAGCCGCCCCGTATTTATGTTTTCCCCGACCGGACCCATCAATCAGATTTAACGATAACGCAAACGGGGGGGGGGACGCGTGAGAATCTGCGATGTTGATGATGTCTGACAGGGTTGCCGTGACGTCGGCACGCGGCTATGTTCTGTCCATATTTCTTCTATCCGGCCTGTCAGTCACGACATGGATCCCGAAGACTTTCTCGGAACGTCTCGGGAACATCAAAGCGGCCCTCCTGTGAGTAACACCAGCTGTGGTTATAGAGAGCTGACATTACTTTACTGCCTGGTTTTATCACAGCCATCAAAACGGGAACGCAGCGATATCAGGACCATCAGAAAGAGATAAATCACCAAGAAACAGAGCAGTGAGTTGGGCAGCTCTGGAAGCTGGAAGAGCACCAGAAACCCACATGATATAGTTGGGGTTTTATTCTGAATGGGAATGAAAATTTAAGAAACTATCAAGATTGTTTTGTGATTTAAAAGTGCTGTAATTATTACATCAGTTTGTAGGCCTCTGTGGGAGCAGTTTAAGCAGTAAATATGAAACTAGAGTCAGCAGCAAATTAGTTTGAAACTTCAGTGTTTTGTTTGCCCATCAGCCGCCTCGACCTTCTCCATGAATCGACTCTGTGGCTCCTTAATGTCACATCCTTTGCTTTCTAATAATTACTACGGCCACTAGAGGGCAGTGTTATGATGAAGCAGGTGAAACCCAAGGGGTCACTTTTCTAAAACAACCAAACCTCTGTTGCTGTCATTGCACAACAGAGTGCATCAGATCAAAATCTCTATTTTGATTTTATCCATCAACCTTTGGTGCTTTTCATACTCCTCTCTTTTTTCCCCCCATCTGTATCTGCACTGCCAATAAAAGTTGAAAATGCCATCATGTTAATCTTAAAAACCAACTGAAAAGAAGACCTTAGTTTTGTTTTTGTTTGTTTCCTTTCTCTCCATAGAGTCACTGCTTCCACACGATCCACAACACAAGAAGAAGAAAAGTGACTCAGCTGCTGCGAGGATCCGTTACGCCTTTTGTCTTCTGCTGGCATTTTTAGAGAGACAGTTTCTCTACTCAAAATTATTGCTTTTCAGATTCAGAGAGAAGACCCAGCTGAGGACCGAAACGTTGGCGGTTCAGTCGGGGTCCGTGGCCTCTGAGCTCCGAGTGACTTCTTCTAACTTTTATTCTTCGTTCTGAGAAGTTCTTAATAACAACATGCCCGAGACTCAGATTTATAAAGCAGCTAATGTCAAAAGTTTACCGTTATTTATTACCCATCAAAGGATAAATGTTCCAACTTAAATATTCTGTCGGGGTGATATATGGGCTTCAGTAATAAGAGCTGGGGGAAGGTCAGCGCGTGATTTCCTCGTGTGAGCCATCTGTGAGGATTCCATGCAGATAGAACGAGCGCTGATAGACACATCTGTGTGTAGCTGCTACACCGACTTAAAAGATGTTTTCATCTTTTTTTTTGACAGGTGGGTGGATCGCCACATGTGAAACTGCTGTAAAACAAAGAGGGGCTAGTTTTCTATAGCTCACTGCCACACAGTATTGTGGCCACCGTTCTATGCAGAGACGGGAGGACGAGAAACTATTTCAGCGCCACAAACCCACACTGGTCCTGTACGAGATCCTCAGTGATCATTTTGTTTATTTATGCTCAGTTAAATCTTTATTTACTTTCACATACTTGAGAGATATTCGACCAGCTAGACTCGTCTTCCCTTTGGCTCGGGTTCAAGCGAGAGTTTTTTTTTCCCTTCATTTCTCGTCTCCAGATGACGTTGTGATATCGACAGATGTGCGCGATACGAGAAGACGTGGGATCACTTTTCGGCGGAGGTGATACACGCTCGCAGCTGCAGCTGTGAACAGAACGTGCAATCATCCTGCCAATCAGACGGCGTGAATGGAGGGGACTACTCAGCCGGCATTGTGCGGCGCTTTCTTCTCTGAAAATTAGGAAATGAGAATTTATGAGACGATCCTCCAAGACTCAGAAAAACACGAGCGTTAATAAAAGGAAACTCTTGTCACATCATTGCATCATTGTAGCGTACGACAGCGTCTGAATGGATCTGAAAGGAGCGTGAATAATGTCCTAATTCACACTTTGGGTCGCAAATATTTGCAGAATCAGATCCCTCACAGTCATTAGTGTTTCACATGAATAGCATCATTTATGAAATCTGGCCTGTGAGTTTTGGATGGTGGAAGTTTCTGGTGTGTGATCCTAATGACTGAACCTTTAATCCGTTTCCTGTTGGAGCCTTCGGGAAGCAGGAAGCGGCCAGCAGAGGGAGCCGACTTCCAGGAATTATAATACCTCACATGCCTTCCTGCCCATTACTTCTCTCCAAACTAATAAAAGAGTTCTCCTCAGACGTTGTGGTGAATACTTCAGCCGCTAATGGTTCTAACAAGGCAAACACCTGTGTTTAGCTCTAACTCCAGCAGCCTCTGCAGAGCTCCTTTCTGTTCTTCGCTATTGATTCAACGATGAAAGGTGAACGGTGGGAGGAGCAGCCGGAGCCACACATCGGAGGTGAAAATTAACCGAGGCGCGGGTGAATAAAACATGTCTCCGAGGACGTTGCCTTGTTTTACCGCTCCGTGGGCTCGGAGGGAACCGTGAGCCTCCCTGAT